AGCCCAGGAAGTGCTCCTGATCCCCAGTCCCGCCCAGGAAGGGCTCCAGCCCAAGAGCTCTCGCTCCGGCCTCCTCCAGCGTCAACATGGTCGGAGTCTCCCTCGCCTCCGCCTCCAGCCTCCGAGGCCCGGACTCTGCCTCGGTCCGTAGACCCAGTGGCTCCACCTCGGTTCCTAGCTCCCTCGCCTCCACCGTCACCCATCGATCCATCAGCTCCACCGGGCTCCCTCGTGACTCTGGCTCCGCCTTGGTCGGGCGTCGACCCGCCATCGCCTCTGGACTCCTCTCCTCTGGCTGCGCCTTGTCGCTCTGTCCTACCGGCTCCGTTGGGCTCCTTCCTCCCGCGAGCGCCACCTTGGTCCTCAGTCGCTCCGGCTCTGCCGCGGATCTCTGGATCTCCGCCTCCGCCTCGGTCGCCAGAGCCGACCTTATTTGGTTGTTCCTGTTCTCATTATTAGTTAATCACCTCATTGTGCTCACCTGTCTGCCCCTCGTTATCAGCCCTTTATCAGTTCCTGTCTCTTGTATTTGAGTTGGTCGGTTATTGTGAATGTTACCCTGTGTGTTGATGTCTACCCTGTCTGGATCTCCTGTTGTCATATCATTAAATATCCATTTATTCGTCATCTTCGTCTTCCTGCCCGGTCTCTAGTACACCCTGCCCGTGACAGAATAACCGACCCAAAAACAGTTTAACTTCCGTGGTCTCCCCTCCGTTTGTTTTCCGTTTTTTTCCTCAGTGTTTTTCTTTCCGTAGTGTTTACCCCATGGATCCCTTCACGCGCCCCAAATTCCTCCTCCTCCTGCTGGAGCAGGAAGGCAGGACTCTCGAGGACCATACCAGACTGTTCCTGTTGGTCGCTAACATCACCAGCTACGTCTTCCTGCCTGGTCTCTGGAACACCCTGCCCGTGACAAATATATAATAGTATGTCATGTGAGGTATACCAGAAAAACCAGTGATGTAGAAATGGAAATATTGCTGTTTTCAGTGAAATCAAGATTCATGGCGAGTTCACTCACTGATCCTCCTGTCTGGGCAGAAAAGCAGTATGTTATTAAACATGGTAAACATGGTTTCATTATATTTTCCTCTAAAACAAATATTCCAACAATTGACTCTCAGATAGATATTAAGACTACAGTAAGATGCCTAATAATTAAGCAATTTTATATATATAAACATATTAGGCATTTCAAGCTCTAAAAACACAATTATATTTTAACATGCACCTTAAAAACTTCCATTGCCCTATTAAACAAAAATTTTGTATATAATATGCAAGATTTTGTATAATAAATTCTGCAAATTCAGTAGCTAAGGTGTACTCACAGAAAGAAAGATATGACTATAAAACATTTTGCTCAAGCTATTACAGAAACTGCACTGTAATAAGACTTCCCCAGACCTGAACTATATATCCTAAAGATACGAATGGCAGGCCTCTCCAGACTTGTCAGTTGACCATTCATAGCACAGATCTAGCATAACCGGGTACATCAGAATCAGACACACTGACTAATCCACGAGGAATGCGCAAAACTACAGTTGTGAAGGGAGCCCTTAACCTACAAAAAGTATGGAGGCATCTGTTGTTTTAGTGGTGAGGGATCACATTTAATATGGGGTAAACATTTTATGACACAATAACAGTATAGTATTTTGAAAATTATGGGGGTTTTCCTCCGCCATTGTGCTAGAAATGCTGGATCTTAGAATGTGCAGAGACAAGCAGAGTCATACAAATTGTGAACAGTCCAAGTGTTTATACTGGTGATATATCCAGTAATAACCAACAGTAAACCCACAGAGCTATACCCCCGAGCTCCTGATCATTTTTAAACATGCTTAAAAAATTCAGGGAGTCGGCCCGATTTTGACCAGTGTATATGCTCTATAGGCTCTCATATTAACAAATTAAATACATCCACATCACATACTCTAGATCTATGTATATTATTATAGCTCAGTGGCTACTAGGTGAACCCATATCGTGCGGATACACCAACACACACATTCTCAAAAATTTCTCTAGTTGCTTTTGTTGAAAGGAATGGCAATGCTGTTCTCTGCTGAATGTGCTCCACTGAAGGTGCTTCTGAAATGAGTGAGGGTGCTCTAGCTATAATGCACATCTATTTTCACATAGACTATATTTTGTGTTATTCATTGCCATGGCGCAAAGAGCACTCCCTTTATAATCACTAAAAAACTGTCACTCATCTTAGTTCATTGCAATCTCACAAAGTTACATTATAATCAATGAAGCTCTCTACACTGCACAATGAATCTCTTTTTTATATCCCGTCTACACTAATATGATCCGAAAGCATGCAGAATTCAGCACTGGACAAAACTCCAGCTTTGTGAGCGGTGAGTGGATTCTAATATAAATGCCTCTTTTATTTTAACTCCCCCATAGGACAAGGCCTGTCTCTGCAATTCACCAAATGATTTGCACACTCATCATTTAATTTTCTTTCTTTTACTATCCGAAGCTCTATAGCAGCAACGTTGAAAAGCTCCATATCTCCATGTTTAGCACGAAAGCTCATGCGATTGCCACCGGCTTGCAGCGCAGTACAGTCACCTGCTTTGACACGATTATCAGGTTAACTGACTCATAATGTGTGCAATGGCTCATGACCTCCCAAGTGTCCGAACTCGCACCGTGTACGCCCATCTTTAAGCAAACTAGCCCAACTGTTAAACAAGTCAAACTCTGGTCTCTGGAAACTGAGTGTATAATCAAGGATTGTTTTGCTCAGACAGACTGGGAGGTGTTTAAAGCTACAGCCACATTGGATGATTCCTCCATCAACATACAGGAATATGCAGAATGTGCGACTGGGTACATCAGAACTTGCATTGACAACATTGTGCCCACAATACAAGTCAGAAAGATTCCAAACCAAAAGCATTGGATGAATAGTCAGGTGTGTCACATGCTCCAAGCTCGATTGCATTTAGATCATCTAATAAAGAGGAGTATACAGTAGCAAAATACAAACTGAGGAAGATCATCAAGAAGGCTAAAAGGCAGTACAGGGAGAAGATTGACAGCTTTTATTCTACTGCTGATGCAAGAACTGAAGGCAATAGGCCCAGATAATATCCCAGGGTGGGCCCTCAGGGCATGTGCCACGGAGCTGGCTGGTGTTCTCACCTCTATTTTTAACCTGTCCCTTTAACAGGCCACTGTCTCTACTTTATCACAGTTTCCAAAAAGAACACAGTAACCTGCCTGAGTGAGTACAGACCAATTGCACTCAC